TTGGAAGGGTCAGGGAGGGGAAGGCTGGTGGGGGGAGGCTGGAGTGGGGGGTTGGAGGGGTGGGGGTTAGAGGAGGATAGAGAGAGCGGCAAGGGGTGAAGTGATGTGGTGGGGGTAGCGGGAGGGAGGGGATAAATGGGGCAGGGCGTCAAGGGAAGGAATAGGTGCTGTGAGGGGATGGAGTTAAAGGAAGGTGGCTGGGACAAAGTGTGAGGGGGTTAGGAATGAGAAGGTTGGAGGGGGAATCTGGGTTGGGGGGTTGCAGGGAGTAGGCTGGGACAAGGGTTGGGGGCAGGGAGGGGAAGGCTGAGGTGGGGAGTAGAGGGGACAGGGACGGGGAGATTGGATGGGGTTCAAGGAGGGAATCTGAAATTGGTGGGTTGGAGATGGAGGTTGGCTAACGGGTTGTAGGAGGAAGTGACGGGGAGGCTAGAATGAATTCGGTTAGAGATGCAGGCATGGGGATGGAAGGGGTTATGATGATCTGAAAAAAGAGGCCGAGTGTCTCAGGAATAGAGGGACTGGGGCAATGAGGGAAACGGGGAGGAGAGAGAGAGATTCAGGGCACGGCTTGGAAGCTAAAGGGACACAAACTCGCACTAGTGATAATAAAGTGGCAGTTTGCAGGCCAGGAAGTGTGTTCAGATAAAGACCGGAGGCCTTTCTGGAGTTTATACTTTAGCCTAGCACAAGTTTTTGGCCTCAATACAGAAGTACCTGGATGAAATGTAATGGCTTGTGTTATCCAAGGAGTCAGACTAGATGATCTAACGGTCCCGTCTGTGACTTAGACTCTATGATTAATAACAAGCCAAAGAGACTGAGGTGGATCTGGAGGGCTGGGTGCATAACTGAACTTTGAAGGGGCAGTTTTCAACGGCTGAAGACTTGGGGGTTGTTTGCAGTCTTGACAAGGGTTCTGTAGATAGTTGACAGGACCATGGAGCAGTTTACCTCATTAGGGAGAGGATAAAACAGGGGTATTTTATCAAAACAATTAGAGGTAGGAGCAGATTTTTAGATCATGTCCATCCCCTATCTTACCCTAGCAGCACTGAGATTTAAACAGAAACAGCCTGTGAAAATAAGTTGTCTGGAAAGGTCAGAAAAAATTATCTTCTGAAGTTAGGGCCTAATCCTGGAAAATCCCCAGCATCTTCCGCTTCCAATGACTGCAATGAAAATTGGGCATTCTCAGCACCTTTCCCACATGTAAGATGTCGTTCTATTCAGTGGAGTGCCCAAACACAGGCCACTGGGCTGAGTGGAGTTTATTTTGCAGTGGCAAATGCCACCTTCTTTGAACCAGAGTGGGCTTTACATTTGGAACAATTCAAGTTGAGAGAGAAATCTGGTGCTTTCAGTCTTGTGGAATTGCGCTTCCTAGGGCCACCAGCTAGAGGACAGTGGGAGACCCTGATTAGAGATCCAAGCTGGATTGTGGTGTTGCTGGGGGCTGGATACGAACACTCTCATTTTCTGTTATGGGACCATATTCATCGCTGGTGCAGCTTCACTGATTTTGGCCCATGAATCTGTGTGACCTTTGGGCTACCATTTTGATTCAAACTTTGAAATTAATGAGTCCATTTCAAAAGGCCAGTATGAACTTTAGAGGGCTTTAGAGGTATTAGCTGATGGGTGTGGGAAATATTTTTATATGTTGTTTTCTGGGAACACAATGTAGGTAGGCATTGTCCACAGACACAGGGAGACACAAGGACCAACTGTTCATAATCTTGCATTTTGTGTACACTTGTGAGTGTAAAAGTCTATCAGCACCATGGTGAGTGCAGATTTCTGATTTGCTAGCATTTTATACCCACTTTTCACTGGTATAAAGGGCAGCAGAAGGTGCTATGCAGTGGAGAATCAAACCCCTGTCAGTTCTCTGACCTTACAATCTAAGGCCTTCTGTACATGAGAAAATTGTTCCTGTTTAACTTAGGCTGGGTCTACACTACCCGCCTGAATCGGCGGGTAGAAATCGACCTCTCGGGGATCGATTTATCGCGTCCCATTGGGATGCAACAATCGATCCCCGAATCGACGCTCTTACTCCACCAGCGGAGGTGGGAGTAAGCGCCGTCGACGGGAAGCCGCAGAGGTCGATTTTGCCGCCGTCCCTACAGCGGGGTAAGTCGGCTGCGATACGTCGAATTCAGCTACGCTATTCGCGTAGCTGAATTTGCGTATCTTAAATCGACCCGCCCCCGTAGTGTAGATGTAGCCTTAATCAGTTTTAAACAAGTTTAGTTAAATCGGTTTAATTGCCTTGCTTGAACACTCTTCTTCCAGATGCCATGTACCCAATCTACTTACCAATTTAAGCTAAATCGTTGCAACACACTCTGAAACTCAGTGTGTCTTTGTTTAGACAAGTGCTAACATTTTCTAAAGCACCTGAGGGACATAGGTGCCTAAGTTTCATTGAAAGTTAATGTGACAGGCTCCTAAATCACTTAATATATATATATATATCACTGATATATGCATCCGAAGAAGTGGGCTGTAGTCCACGAAAGCTTATGCTCTAATAAATTTGTTAGTCTCTAAGGTGCCACAAGTCCTCCTGTTCTTCTTTTTGCGGATACAGACTAACACGGCTGCTACTCTAAATCACTTAAGCAGTTCTGAAAATATTACCCAAGGCTTGAGGAGAATAATAACAACTATCCCTGGCTCTTCGATCTCAAAGGAGTATCATGGAAGTATCATTATCCCCATTCTACAGAGGGGGAAACTGAGGCCCGGGGGGTGAAGTGACTTGCCCAGGGTAATCCATTAGGCCGGTGGCAGAGCCCCAGTCTCCACACCAGCCATTAGGCCGCATTGCAACAGGTGGGAGAGGGATATTAGCACAGTATGTACAATTTATATATACACATTCTGTACATTTTTATACACAGAATATATTTTATTCTAAATGTAGTCTACTTTGAAGTATTGGGGGAAAGGATAATGGTTAATTGAACTAGAAGGAGAGCACAGAAGAGAGAGGTTAGTTGGGGTGCATATCTGAAGGATATTCCTATCTTAAGGTGACATGCTATTCAATGGTTTCTTGCGGTGGCCGTGCTAGGAGTCAGCTGCCAGCTGTTACATAGATCCTTTAAGTTCTTTTTAATATGGTCATGACCTACAGACTTCCATGGCAAAACCATCCAATGCAGTCAGTACCTGTTTAATGCCATGCATCTCCAAGGCTTTCCGTAGCCAATGGGCCCTGCAAAGGGACCCCTGAATCCCTCTGTCACGGAGTCACCGGGGCGATGCTCTGGAACTACTCCATACTGTCTCCAGGGCAAGAAGCTTACACAGCTTCAACCTTCCTGGGTCTGACCTCGGAACATGCAGCATCCCCTTCCACACCATGTGCTTCCCGCAGTGAGTCCCCCCGGGCAGGGCTCTTGGAGAAGCCAAAGGGCCCTGCACCCCAACTCCGCAGTCAGATGTGACTCTCAGGCAACGTAAAACGGAAGGTTTATTAGTCGACAGGAAAACAGCGTAGGACAGAACTTGTTAGCACAGAAATCGGTTACTTTCAGCCAAATCCATCTTGCGGGGAGGGGAGCCCAGAGCCAGGGTTCTGGCCCTGCCTCTGTGCCCCAAGCCAGCCGAGACGGACTTGCTTCCAGCTGCCTGTCCCCTGCCCTGCCTGTTGCTCCTCCTCCGGCCTGTGTCCCGCTTCCCGGACCAAGAGTCACCTGGTCGCATCCCCCTCCTGGGTCTCAGGTTATGAAGGGGTGGCCATAGCATATATGCAGGGAGAAGCCCCTGCCAAAGTCACTCACCCTTATTCCCATTACCTAGACATTGGTGCAATGCACAGGGAAACTGAGGCACACACAGCATTCATGCAAAACAGTAAGACTCACATACAACATAACAATGGAAAAGCCCCACTTGGTCACATCCTCTGTGACTTACAATTGCAGCTAGAGGTCTCCTCGCAAGGGGTGTATTAATAAGGAACCAGTTCTGCTGGGGAGTAGTAGACGAGACATCACTCTGCATTCATCACCAATCTCGCCGTTTTCTGAAGGCTAGTAAAACGGTTTTGTTCAGGCTAGTCCAGCGTTGCCACA